GTGGAGTCTCCTTCCCTGGAGATATTCAAAACCCATCTGGATGTGATCCTGGGCAATATGCTCTAGGTGACCCTGCTTGAGCAGAGAGGTTGGACTAGATGATCTCCAGAGGTCCCTTCCAACCTAAACGATTCTGTGATGTAGCTATATGGCTCAAGGAGGAAAATAATAGAAGTTTTCACACTGCATAAGCCCTAATTGAGAATAGGCCTTTATAGTACATAACTTTTGAGTACATCACACGTATTTTTGTGTCCCTGGGTCATATCTGAAAAGAAAAAAGCTCTGTTCCTAGTCTTGCAAAGCTATTAAATCTAAAAATCAAAAATCAGATAAACATGCCCATTACTGACACATTTGGTTGAGTTTGTAAACACAAAAATATTGGGTTATTCAAAAGCTTTAATTTCTGAACTTACTTTTTTTTTTGCTTATTTTGTATTCAGTGCATATTAAGATTGTTTAAAAATAATGCTTTCAAAATGTGTTCTATGAAAATATTATACAAAAAGCTCATCACTGCTATAACGAGCACAATGTTACTGACATTTTCAATTGATCGCATTCTTGAAACTGTTATCGCCTGTTCCTCTTTTAAATAAATGTTTCTAATTTTATTATTATGATTTTTTTTCAAACAATAGCGAATCAAAGAAGGTAGCCTTATGGACCAAATCAAAACAGTCTGCGTAGGTGATCACATAGAGTCTATAAATGGAAAAAATGTGTCACAGTATCGGCATTATGAAGTCGCCAAGATGCTAAAAGATCTGGAGAAAGGTCAGATGTTTAAGCTGGAGTTGATAGAGCCTATGAAAGCATTTGGTGAGTGACTTGGATACTGTCCCTCTTGTTTGCTGGATGTTGAAATACTGCCATTGCATTGCATTGCATTGTAAGCTTGTTTTCAGATTGCAGTCAGGTGCTCACTGAACCTAATATAATTGCTAGAAAAAGTGTATTTGTGTTTTTCTTTGAAGCTGGAAATTTATGAATAGATTTTTCCCCTTTGCTTTCTGCCTGCTGGATGTAGTGCTCGCTACTGGGAACCAAGCCCTCTGGCTTGGGCATCTGGTCATCCTACAGTGGGCTGCCTCAGACCCTCAGTCTTGACTTCTTTGCCACCCCATCATCGTGCAAGACAAGTACAAAAACTGTTTCATAGACACAGTTTTATAGCCTAGATTGCTTGACTGATGTGCTGGCCCTCGAACCTCCTCCTCTCTTTTCCACTGCATCTGTTACACGCAGTCCCTGTTCCTCCATGTGCCACTTCTCCACTTCTGAGCCCTTTGCCAGGACTGAGCTCCCTAAGGCAAAAGGATGCTGCTGGAAGCAGAACTCGAGGTTCCCCAGAGCATCCCCTTTGCTGCATGCCTGCCTGCTCTTCCCAATTTTTTTTGATGGCTCTCTAATCACGCAGCGGGTGTACTCCAGGATCAGAGAGAAGCAGTGTGGCAAAGCTCTAGCTCTACTGCCTGTATGCTAGGAGGGAGTGATACTTTATGTAGGAGGAATGTACACTAGTTGCTAATCCTTTTGTACATTAACTTCACTGGATCTGGTAAAGTTAAAAAACAAACAACCTACCAATTGAGCTTAAAGAGTCAAAGAGGAGATTGCACTTCTAATTTTTATTTTCTTGATTTTGGATTTTTTTTCCATGAACCATCCAATATTTTTCAGTAATAAAAATAGTTCAAAATGCTATTAAGTTAGAAGCATATATGTGCACACCTGTACTGCAAAGTTCAAGATCGCGGTCTTCACCATAGTAGCAAAAACTTGAAAGGTTTATTTTTCAAATCCTTTTTTTCTGTTACCAGTTTGACTACTGTCATACACCAGTCTTGACACTTGGTGTCAGAATAACAGCAGAAATTGAGAATGAGAGGCATTGAAGATTTCTTTTTGCTTTTGGTGCTACTACAAAGAATGATGATAATGAGTTAATCTCTAATGCCTTTGGAGATAAATTCACTTCCTTGTTAAATAAGTAAATGTCTGTTATGTGTTATGCTCAAGTAGTATTAAAAATATATAGTGTTTCAGATAGCTATATAGCTAAAACTTTTTAATATGTCTGTAATTTCTATTCAGTGCTAGACCTGCTGCATAGTCTGTCTGTAAAGACCAGAGTAAATCAACATTTGGATGATGACTTCAGCCATTATCTAATAGTACTTACTTTAGTAAGGTGATTAAGATACCTTATAGTCTGCCTGTGATGGAGAGGAGGAAACCTGCTAATGCCATGGCAATATGTTTTATCTGAAACTGATTTAAGGGGCAATCAGAACTTGGAAAGATGTTTGGAAGCTGCATTTTATTTTTTACCTTGCTGAAATTAATTTACAAATTGCAGTGCCCAGCGTTAAGCTGATTAGAATATCCTGGCTCTTACCTTGGCTGCAGCTGAACTTTAGACATAGATTTATACAGGAGATAGGGTTTAAGATGCAGCACTCTGAGAATGACCCCACGGGGGATTACAAATAAGATCCAGATCCTGATGGACGCATAGGTGCTGAATTTCTAATAGCTTCAACAGAATTTAGCTACTTAAAGTTTGTAAGGATCTAGGCATAAGAGACAAGTCCTTGGAGCCATAAAAAGGGCTAAAGAGAAGTGCTGATTCTGTGTCTACAGACTGTGTAGTACCTATTTGTTAGAATAAGAATAGTTAAAATTCACTTTATAAGCCTTGTTTAGCAGAATAATCTGGATTTTGACTGCTCATGTAGGAGTGATGGGTTGGACAAAGCTGGGCAAAATGAGATGAGAATGTTAAACCCTTACTTTCAAAGAGAGCTTATTAGAGAAATTTGCTATTAACAGAAGGAATAATCTGATGGAGGAAACAGCACAGTTAAAACAGGTCTACAAAATAATCTGGAAAGTATAGAAGAGAAGAGATAAAATTTGTAACTTGCTGTGTCAGTAATATATTAAAGCCACATCATCTAATAGCAAATTAAGGAATCAGAAATCGTATTGAATTGAATGTAAAATCCTGTCCTAGAACAGGAAAGCTGAGACAAGCCAAATCTTAAATGATTTCAGACTTTGCATCATAGCCTCAGCAAAGGTTGGAAATGTTGAGACGTTAAACCTGCTACAAAGTCTGTCTGCAAAGATCACATTAAATTAGCATCTGGCTGATAACTTCAGCCATTATCTAATATTAAGTAATAAATAATTATACTTTTTTTGTACAATAGACATACAATTATGCAAAGTACACACATGAAGTTGAGTGCAATATATTTGCATAGACACATTGGTCAATTGGAGCCCTGTGTTTAGTGTGGTCAAGTGGATTTCAAAATTTGAAGACAAATTATCAGCAGAGCTACACTTGAGGTACACTGAATAATAATTTAATTTTTATATATCTCTAGATCATAATTAGAATAAAAAGTGAAGGTAATGTAGTGATCAGTCAAATCAGATGCATCATGTTATGACTAATGCTTAGTTTTGCTTGGCATTATTTTTCCTGTTTTTGTTTTGTTTTATCTTTAGAAATGCTGGAACCAAGGTCACACGGTGCATCTCTGCCAGAGGCTAAAATCTCCAGAGGGAGAGAAACTCTTCGACTGAGAACAAAAGGCCCTGCCACTGTGGAGGAAATGGTATGGTTATTTTGGGGTCTTGGAATAGTTAAATCTTCTGTCACCTGATTTACTCTTCTCCAAGGTTTGTAAGGTAAAATAGGAAGGAAAAACCTGTATGTTTACAAAACTTACTGGGTCAATTTGAGGACTGCTTTCTGCAGGGAGAAAATGTTTGTTTTAAGGTGAAGACCTTGGTTTATACCTAGACGAATGAAGGCTTGAAGAACAAGGATGTGATTCTGGGCGAGGACCAAAGATTAGCCGTTTCTTTAGGGGAAAACATCTAGTGACTTATGTATGCATTTATATTAGGTGCTACATAATTGAACTATAGAATTATTTAGGTTGGAAGGGACCTTTATCTAATCCAGCCTCCTGCGTAAAACAGGTCTAACTTAAAGCTAGATCAGACTGCCCAGGACTCCTCCTGTTGAACCTCTGAGATCAACTGAGGCCAAGAGGAGTTTTGGCAGGCTGCCTTTGTGTGTGTGAATGGCGTATTTGTTTGCTTTTGAATTTTTTCCTTTGGTGGATATATGTGTCACCAGATTGTGGCTCAGCGGAAGAATGACTGACCATCTTCATGCCTAGCTAGTTGGTGCAATACTAGCACAATAAGGGTGGATGTGGAGGAATATGGAAACAGAGAGCCTATGTTTAGGTATTGGAGATTATGTCAATGGGGTTAAACTGGATTAGACCAAAGAGTGTTGAAAAGGCATGGGAACAGGGGAAAGGAAAATTAAAAAGTTGGCTCTGTTTCCGATACTGCAAAGTGTACGGGGCTAGAGTAAAGGTTAAGAGAGCCTCATGACTTACGTGGGCACAAATATGTGTAAAATCAGGACTGACATTTGGAAGAAGAATTTTATTTACTCTGGGTTCCCATAAAGCTGATGAAGATTTGATGATGATACATATTTTCAGGAGTTGAAAGGCTCATGTTTAGTTTGGTGAAAGTGAGAGTTATGTAGCTATATCTGACATTAATAGGAAAGCTAGAGTTTTTGAGAAGAGCGGAAGACAGTGAAATAATGTGTTTTACTTTTGGGTTTTGTAAGTCTAGGTAGGTAGGATGGGAGCTGGTGCAATCAGTGGCCAGTTGCTCATTATTTTGACATCTGCAAAGAGGTATAATCATGCATTTACTCTATTTCTCCCTTTATTTCAACAAAGCCATCTGAAGCTGAAGAAAAAGCAATAAAAAAGGTGGATGAACTTCTTGAAACATATATGGGGATAAGAGATATTGAATTAGGTGAGTATTTAAAACATGCATTACTACATGATTAAATCACTTCTCATTTTGGGCAATGTAAAGCTATTGTAAGCGTTTTTATCTCTAGATGTTGAGGCACAATTTGTCCAACGTGGATTCTCAAAACCTTACTTGTTTTTCTCCAGATATATCTCTCTGATAAAAGAAAGAATCCTTCACTACAAACCTTGTAATTTAATTCATCCTTTATTCTTTCTATGCTATTGCATATATTATGAGTTGTTTGCAACTAATTAACTGTCATCCCTGTTTTCCTTCTGGTCATTATTTTCTAGTGGAATTTGTATGCATAAATGTTTAAGGATTGTTAAGGACAAGCACATCTATCCACTTATACTTACTCTCTTTTGCCCCTTGACATAGATGCGTTAAATTTGATCACTAAAGTTTGAATTTGAGATCTCCAGCAGTGAAAGGGCAAATATTTAGCAGTGGAGCTGACAAAATGATTGCACAAGCTTATCAACATTTCTAAAGCCTGTGGTCTGAAGAAACATATGAAATTTTCCAGAATATTTACTAGCTATTAAAATTGGCTGTTCATAATGAAAAAGCTATTCAAACTCAGTATCCAAAGTTCCTTAAAACGCGTGTTTAATTGCATCAAATATGTCCTTGCACCTGTTGTGACTCTGTTACTCTCACAACAGTTAGATAGGAACTTCTCTTTGTAATGGAGGAAGCCACTAATGTTTTGCAGTCTAGCAGAATAACAAGCCCCTCTGTAGGGAGCTGCACCTGGATGCAGTCCTCAGGCAAGGCTGAAGAACTGATAATGCCTTGGAACCCCTCCCTAGAGATAAAGGGAAAGGTATTTATTATTATAGTATTATCTAAAAGTCGGCCAAGAATTAGGAAGGGATAAGCTAAATGGAAAGAGATACTGAAAAGAAAGCCTATCTGAGAGAGAAGGGGGGGCCAAAGCAGAAGACATTGAGGGAGTAGGTCTGGCATGAAACTAAGGGCAACGCCAGGAGGGCTGGGCAGGCAGCAGTCAGAACAGAGGAACAAGAACAATAAGAGATCATCTGAATAGCCAAAGTCCTGTGTTGGCTGCTCCTACTGGCAAGTATTTAGCTGGCAGGTTCTCCAATTTTTTCCTGTGAGGAAAATAGTAGGTAAAGTACTATTTGTTCCCCAGCCAAAGGTAGAAATGGGCTCCCTGACACAGAATGAAGAGTAGAGCTGGCCAAAACTTCTCTTTTGCAGGAAATGTCTAAACTTTCCAGTTCCCAAAAAGCTGAAAATTCTCAACTGTTTCAGCAACTCTAATGTGTGATGCCTCTGGCATGCAGTACGCTCCCTGGAGCCTTGTGTGGTGCTGGCTCTTCGTTCAGGTTGAGGAGATTCCAGGTCCTGTGGCTCCCCTGCAGCCTCTGCTATTCAGTCCATTGTTGGTTCAGGCTTCAAAGCTCCTGAGGCTCGAGCTGGCTACCCTACCTGGAAGCTGTTTTTGTCATGCAGCTTGGGGCTACTATCCTTGCTGATTCCCTCTCTACAGTCTCCAGGGTCCTGGCTCGGGGCAGTATTTCGGAGGTCCAATAAGCAGCTCCAGGGGTTCTAGTTTCAGTGCCCGTAGCCCAGGGCCTGGAGATCCTAGGCTACAGAGTGGTTTTTTGGGCTGCCTACATGTTATGCTCCACTCCGGGTCAGAGAAGTGAGTGTCTGTGGGAGCTGGTGTTCTCCGTGTTTCTGGCTCTTGGGACCATAACAGGACAGCTCTTGTACAGTAAACGAAGGAGTTCAGCTCCCAGCATGTGTGGCTGAGCTAGTCACAAAGCACCTAGTGGTGCTTTTCCATGAATTCTCTAATTCCTTGCATCTTTCAGTGTATAGTTTTGAAAATTTCAAAGAATGCTTTCAAAGAACACTTAAAGAATAAATAAATCTTTGTCCTCAGAGCGAAGCTCTTTCTCCTATCTGAGTTTATTTTTCTCTTCACCTCTTCCTTTTAATCTTCCCCAAAAGGCAGTGAAACAGATAGAAATTGCCATGATCAAAGACTGTAGGTTTCATGTAGCTTCAATTTGCATTTTGAAGCCATTTCGTAAAGTTCAAATCTTAGAATCAAGGGCCACAGGGTGATGACAAAAAAAAAAAAAAAGTAAAGTTCATCATTGTTAAACAATTAAAAAGCTCTAGGACTCTTTAGGAATGGAGAGCTAATCACCTGTCACAAATCTGTTCAATTAACATACGTCAATTTTGTTATATGAGATTGATGAGATCAATCACCCATGAAAATGAAATATGAGGAAAGGATTCATTCAGAGAATGCCAATCACTGTTCAGCTAGAAATTTCACTCATTACTCAAGCCAGATTAGTTGAAAATGCAAGTCATCACAATGCGACAGCTGACAAGCGATTAAGATCTCAATCATTGCTCACTCCCATGCAGTTCTGTTTGTCAGAAGCTTTGGATGTCAGTTAACATTACTCTTTTATCTCCATTAAAATGACACTTCCATAGTGTGAGTGAATTTTGAAACAGTGCTCCAATTTTAAGCTAGAATTTAGAAAAGAAAGAAAAATAATGTAAAACTACAGACGGAATTAAAAATGAGATGAAGCCCTTAATTTTTGCATAGTTAAGTATCTTGACAGTTTCAAGAATGGATGACTAAATCTATACACAAATACCTAAGTTGGAATAAAATGCTTGGAAATCATTTAATGGAAATGCATCCACTGTGCACGTGTTTGGCACAGTTTGTTATTCTCTGTGATCCAATGATCTAAATGGTGTCGAGATTTACATAGCTGCCTCTTAAATGCACTCTTACCTTTTTACCTCTGTATTCCATTTTACTGAAAGCTGAACTTAGCCTGTGGAGTGTACCCTTCCATCTCCAAAGGACTATTTTTGCTTCATCTCCTACTTCCAATTTCTCACGTTTGTTTCGTACCTTTCAGATTGATCAGGTTGGGTCACTGAATATATATGTGTGCGTACTGTAACCCCATAATGTATTTATATGGTTGATTATTCATTTACTTCAAGAGAATAATGGAAGCTTTGTGAAAGTAGCAAGACTGATTAAATAAGGGACGCTCTCCGCTCTGGGAAGGATTGGTACTTAATAAAAAGAAACAAGAAGGAAGGATATTTCCCACGGTTCCTTGAATGCCCTGTCTTGAGAGCGTTCAACAGGAAGCCAAAACCAAGTAATGTTAAACACTGAAAACTGCAATGATGCCCTTCATTTTCCCTCATGTCATAAGGAGACTGAATGTGAATTTGAACTCTTTAAAAGTGTCGTGACAAAATGATAATACTAGTTACCTTTGATGCAGGCCGAGCTCCTGGTAATGTTACAGGTAGATAAATACTGATGCTTCTGTAGAGACTTCTGAAAAAGTTTGTTTAAAAGGATACAAGATAGGATGTGGGTAGCAAAGACACTATATAAGGTGTAATTAGTAAAAATGGCAGGCAGATCATAGATCTCAGAGCACAAACTAAATGTATCTGTCAAAAGTGAAAATAAAGGTTTTCTGAAAGAAGATCTTCAAAGTTATTTCCACGGGAAATGAAGAAAAAAAAAAGTCAATATACTACTTAGTTCACTTTCTGGGAACTTCAGTATTGAGCTTTTCAGTTAAAGCTGAAAGACTTCTAACTCCTACTGCTTTTGAGTTTGCTGAACTTTTCATATGTAAAAACTTTCCATATGTAAATAAACTTCACAAGTATGAGCATTATCTGAAGTGAGATTTAGAAAATATATATATTTGAACAGAGATGGGGCATCTGGTGTGTGTGCAAAATTTGGAATAACTATGCTCTTTGTTAGAATAAAATTCCTGTAATGACTTATTGTGCAGCTGTTACAAGAAGCGGTTGGGAAAAGGGAGGGTAGTGGAGGAAACTTGGCATGGAACTATCACTCTCTGAGAACTAAAGTTTTCTTCAAGTTGGCAAGTATCTACTAAATGCTTTGGCAATCAGTGATTTTTGATTTGCCTGAGGAATTATGCATTGCAAATTTCTCTGTAAACATGCATATCATGCACAGAATTTTCCAACTGTGCTACAAAGAGGAAGACAGCCTGTAAAGGTATATATGTCTATGTAAATCATCAGTGAAATAAGGATATGTATATTGAGTGTCAGAGGAGACCTATTTATCTTCCCTATGCATGAAACCAGTGAAGCAGGGTTCAGCTTTTTGCATACATATACATTAGTGGTACAACTTGCATGGGAAAATCAGGAAGGATTGCATGCATCTTGCATTACCACTTACTGTATGGTAATATAACTCTACTGACACTAGAGGTCAGCACCAAGCTACTGAAAAAGTACACACCAGCAGTGAAGTCCTGGCGCTCTTCGCAGGAGTGTATTTCACCATATGAAGTGAATCTGAGAGGGTCAGCACACATTAACAAATGTACTGCATTAAGTATACTCTTGTCGTGCTGATTACAGGTGTTCATTGCAGTTGAGAAAACACTTTTATTTCAGGCTACTTCTTTCAATGACAGTGATGTTTTGACTCCTGCTCAGTTGAGTTGAAATTCATCTTGATTGTCCAAGTTTAGTGGATTTTATTTTCCAGCTTGATACACCTCTGAAAAAATATGTTTAAGGCACTATTTCATAATTTTGCAAGCTCAATAGTTAAACAGAATTGTATCTGAAGTAACATTTTGGGTTAATAACAACCTTGGAGTTTATTACAGTGTAATCTTGAAGCTTCAGCTAGGGCAGTTGGACAGTAACATAAGCCTGTGTCATATTGCCTTATTGCTGCTTTCCTGGACAGCTGTGTCATATGGCTCTTTTCATACATCTTGATCAATTTATCTTTATACTAGCTAAGTTCCTTTCTCCTGCTCTTCCTGTTGGAGCGCGTCGCTACGTCTTAACTTCTCCGATGGCTGCTTTTAATATCTTGAGCAAATTTATCTGCAGCTATTTGTTCTTGTATCATGATTGTCTTTTGCCTTGCATAGGTCTTCTCCCTCTGCCCTCTCCTAATGTCAATACAGAGTAACCTCATATCCTGGTCCGTAACTGGAAATCTGTGAAGTTTAAATTAGACCCTTCACCTCATTTTCCCCAGGGTCATTGCTCTTTTGCCATGCCGTCTGGGGGTAGAGAGAGGTGGTGATGGGACAAAAACTGGTCTTTTGGTTGTTGGGAACAAGAGTCCCTTGTTTAAAGCTTGTTTCCCGTTCAGACTCCTCTGCATCAGCGTCCCAGGATCTTCACAGGGGAGGTGGAAAGAATTGATATGACAGGACTAGGGTTTCTTCTGGCGGGAAAATAAGTGTTGAGAGTCCTTAAGAACCAACAGTGGTGCCCAGGAAACTGGGTTACATTTGAACTGTTTTGATAATAGCAGTTTGTTTGTTAAAATTTATGTGAATTTTCCTTGGACTGCACTGTGTAGTTTGGCACACTGAAATTCTGTTTTGAGTCTCATGTCTGAATGCAGTTAAAATCAAAACATAAAATTTGTTCAAAACTACTGTTGCTGACGTCTACAATATGGCTCAAGTTTGCTCATAGCTTGTTACAAGTTTGCATAATAGCAAACACTGTTTGCCAGAAGTTCATAAATGTCAGTAAACTTGAGATGAGTTTCGGGTTAATAAAATAATATTAAATGCATTTTAAAAAACTTTAGAGCAGGAGAAATTTATTTTGCTTTTATGGGAGAGATTTGGTCATGTTGATACAACACGACATACGCAGTACACAATGGTACACAGTGGACTGTGCTGGTGAAGATGGTCTTCTGTGGTTTGAGAATATCCTTCCCTTTCTCAGGCACTGTAATACATGTTTTCCACTTGGATATTGCTCTGAGAAAAGGCTAGAAGCTATCATATCCTTCAAGTGTGACGTTAGGAGGTAGTATGTTCATGAAGAAAGTGGTGGTTACCTAATGTATAACAGAGAGATGCAAAACATCTTGCAGTTTAAGGCAGGTGTATAAGATAATTCCAAAACGCAGCAGCCTTTTTGGGTTTCATCTGTGGTGCAATACCCTCTTGTTGTGAATGTCAGCAGAAACTGTGGAGAAAAGACAGCTTAGGAAATAAACTGCATTCAGCTGTGCTGTTTGTGCTGAGTTTGTTTTACAGAGTCTGCAACACCCCTCAGACCAAGATAGCCTGCTGCCCATGGTTTCTCCTTGCCCAGCTTACAGCTGCTCCTGTCCTCCCTGCTGACACCTTTCGTCCTTCTGGTGGGTGCAGGGGCCACGACCCAGAGATATCTGAGCCCTCATGGTTTCTTTTGCTCTAATAACCCAGGGCCCCTGACACCTGATATTGTTTGAAATAGACTGTTGTAATTTTTTTCGGAAATTAGGGAAACTGCCCAGTGGTTGAAGGTCAGAGATGAGCATAGGAGTGAAGGGCTGAGCCCTCAGCAGTGACCCTAACTTAGCTGTGTCCCAGCTAGGGTCTAAACCTTGATAAATTCTGATACTCAGCTGTTCAGTAGGAGAAAATACTGGACAGCGTGGGTGTACCAGATATAGTTTGCCTCTATGGTATCAGCCCTTTGCTGCAACTTTCTCTGAGTGCCAGGAGGCTGCTGGTGGTTCCTGTTGCGAGTCCTTTCCCATGTCGTGGCAGCATGTGAAATACCTGGCTGAAACTTCTGGGATTTCCAGCAGCGGCTTTGATCTTTTGACTTCTGACTAGCATAAGCACAGTTTTTCCCAGCCTTTAGGGTGCTAATAAATTAAAGATTTGTTTTCCAGAGCTGGAAATAATAACTAAAGCAAACCCATGCACTCATATTGGAACGGTTCTAAAAACAGTCATTCTTTAGTCTGCACGATATTGAAAGAAATACAGATCCAAGTAGAAGAATAAGTGCGGCTCCCAGTTACTGCCTCAGTTCTTTTACTACTCTGAAGTGTTTTTTTTGGCTTTAGGCTGGAGATTCCCAGGGCAGCATAGGGTTTGTTCATCAGATTGTTCTCTTTGCAGCACTCCACCAGCCAGGTCTCTGAAAGCTCACGTGCTGGATTATATACTGCAACATTGTTCTTAAACAGTGCCATGGTAGCTCCCTGTTCCAGTGGTTTGCAAGTATTGGAAAGCCTAATGTAGCCTCTGCTTTAATTTTTGCATCATGGCTATCTTGATTTTTGCAGACTTCCTGACCTTCCCGAGAAAGTTTCAGGAACTTGTTGATGTTTTCACGTTGGGCTTTTATTTGCACCTGAAATATTCAAGTATTTTTCTCTTCTCTTTAGGAAATGGTCAAACTTTTCCCTCTTTTTTTTTTTTTCTTTTCTTTTTTATGACTTGAAAACTTTAACATGCACTTCTTGCAGAGTGTTCAGTTTCTGTGCATTCTTTCTTTGGAAGAGAATAGATAGCTGAATAGATAATTCGGTCATAATTTTTGTAGCAGTAGCTCTTTTCAGTTTCTGCTGAGACGCTATATGCAGTTCTGACAGGCCTTAATAATAATAGATGACTTAAAGCTTTTTTTTCTGTAGATTTCAAAGTACTTTTAAAAATAAGGTAAGTGTTCTTATTTTCACCATGCATAAAGGGAATCTGAGGCACCGAAAAATTCAGGTAACTGGTTCAAGGTCCGGTGATTAGTATTAGAATGAGGAATAGGTCAAAAATCTCTGGAGAGTACAGCTGCTTTCAGCCAGTTGCATACATACTGTGCCCAGAATCTGACAAACCTGAAGTTAATTTTCTCTGCATTTTATATAGTGCATGAGTTGAAGGTAGCATTTGAATCCTTTTTTTGCCTAAATAGATTGGATACTTAAGTGTTTTTTCTAGATCCATTTACCATTACTCTTTTCCAAACGCTGGTCATGCTCAGTGTTTAAGCTGATGGGTGGTTTTTGGAAATTACATATTACTTTGGTTGCATGTATTTATTATGCAGCCTCGATGTTGTTTTCCATGTTCAATCTCTAAACGTGTGTATCAAGCTCAAGGAAATTGGTCGGTAACCGGCATGAGAGTCTCGTTATCCTAAAAGAGGAATTGTACTGACCCTTGTCTTTTAGACCCATGCCTCATATGTCTTCAGTAATGAATGATTTAATAAGATAAAAATGAAGGTTGGTTAAATTAAAAATTAAACTTCCCCCAAACAAGCAGAAGATTATATCAGTAGTGTTGCAAGGAAGTTTTCCGATTTTGCAGAACAGAAGGGAGCTTCTGCAGGGGGAAATAAGTGCATAAATCGTAGCTCACTTACAGAATTTAGGATTCACTTTAAATCTCCCTGAGGTGGCCTTACTTGATATTGAAAATATACCTTCAAAAAGTATTTGGCCATATATGCTAGCTGTCATTTTTGTGATAATTACATTATTTTGTTGTATTTTTCTAGCTGCAACAATGGTGGAAGCTGGAAGAGATAAGAAAAACCCAGACGAATTTGCAATGGCATTGGATGAAGCTCTTGGAGATTTTGCTTTTCCAGATGAGTTTGTCTTTGATGTATGGGGAGCAATTGGTGATGCTAAGCAAGGGAGACTTGAATGAGAACTGTGCAGTTTGTCAATCCCTGTTTGAAAATAGAAAATGATTTTCAAATACATGTATCAGAATTTTTTTTTATTGAAGGGAATCCATGATGCTCTGTATTAGTATTCTTATCAGAAACTTTTGTTTTGCAAAGGAAGGTTTCCAGCAGAAATTTGGAGATAAGCCTAAAGTCCTGACAACCGCACATTCAAAACAAACATTTAATTTATATGCAGAAATCATTGTGAGGAGTGGGAAAAGGAGATATATACATATATATATAGTATGAATTTTGTGAACATTAGGTATCTCTAATCGTACCCATAGTTTGATATCAACATTCTGAAACGTTAGACATGCACCACAGAGTTTTGATTTTTTAATCTCTTCTGAAGAAAGGTTTATAAACTTGATGACATACTGCCTAGCTATACACTGCAATTCCCTGGTCTTCTATTGTCCTTAAGTTTGCAAGCACACAGAGCTGTGGAAAACCTGAAACCTCAGGTTTTCTTATTCTTTGGCCTGGAAGTAGTCTTTTCAGTAGTGTGTGTTGGGAAGAAGCTACCTTGTTTCTGGAGAAGTTGAATTCAGAGAGCAAAAATTTCCTCTGAAATGTGAGAGGTAAGACCTCTGAATGAGAAAGACTTGCTTTCATTCAAGTCCTAATACACACTGTCTGCATACTACTAAGATGAACAGATAGTAGAAATGCTTGAAGCAGGTAGGAAGCTGTTGCTTTACTCTCAGATGCCATATTATTGCAATAATAATTGCATAGGAAGAAACATGTTAATTTTGATTATTATTCCTATATTTGAATCATACCTGTGATGGAACTGGAAGTCATAGCATATGACTAATTGAGGGCTTAACTGCTCTTTGCATATGCTAAATGCTTTGTTGAGAACATATGAAGATGCTCCTTTCTTTTTTGTGCTTTTCTTCACATGGCAATGTCGAGGAGAGATTTAAAAAGGTGTTCGAAACTGGAGGGTTTTTTTCCCATGCAATCTGCGATTGTTTGCATTTTATATATTGTTGTAAAATCTCAGACAGTCACAGATAGGCTGAAAATGCATGCCTAAAACATTAAAATATATTTAACTCATTTTAGATGTTTGATTTTCAAATCATCTTGTACATAAAAGTATTTCCTTTTATGATAATGTCTTACTAATAGATCACAGATTATTAAAAATAAACCATCTATTTCAATACATCCAGCAGGCCTGTGTTTATACTCTTGTTCGCTTTGTGTTTAATCAAGAGTGATGGAATAAGTTTTGTTTTTGCTTATAACTGGATTCATTTTCAGTTTTTGCTGTGCTTGGTTTTAATCAAGGCAGATGTCTGCTGGTATGTTTAGAAATAGCTACTTCCAATTGATTATTATACTGATTCGGAAGTTAAAAAAAAAAAGTTTTCTCAACTTACATTTTACCCAAATAACACGTAACAAGTGTCCCTGAAAACAAAATTGAGCAAGAATATGGGGAAGATATCATGTAGTATTTTTATATTTGCACAAATGTATACATTAATAGATATTAGGTGTATTTTCTAAATCACTATGTAGTTACTTTTCTTCTGAGGAAAATGCCTTTCACTATCTTGTGGAGATTTCTTTTTAAATTAAAATAAAGACTATGCCAAGAGTTCTATACGTTCTATGTTAATGATTTTTTTTTGCTAAAACCGTAACACTTAGATGTGTCATTGGCAATCAGCGCTTAAGAGGTTCTTAAGAAAGAAAACTTTGTTCAGAAAACTTTGGTTGTTTATTCCGTCTTTGGGTGAACTGCAGCTTCTCTTAAACAGCTTGTGGTACCATTCTGTGCTTGTGCTAATCTTACCAAACGGGCTGTCACCAAAAAAGGTGGACCAGATTTTGCTCCTGGGCTGCATGTCTTATTCCTTTTTTATGCTGGCACTGGTATTTGTGTTTGTGCAGTTGCGCATGGAAATGGATTAAGGAAAATAAGTTATCAGTTTTCAGCCAGCTTGGCTCCTGGGCTGGCAAATCACACAGCCCCCCAGAAGTGAATACTGGCACGTGGATGGTGATGGGAAGGTGCAGCTGGGCATAGAGAGCCAGGGAGCTGCTTTCTGCAGCTCTCTGGGCTTAGCTCAGGTCAGAGTGTCTATGGCAGCCGCCTCTAGCAGACCACCACCACACACATCACTTTCTTCTCTAGCTTTGCTTGCAAACTGCCTGTGTTATACCAAAGCTGTCTGCAGGGAAGGGAGGACAGGAAAAATCAAGAATGGAAATTCTGTGTCTATCTTCAGGATGTATCTTAAACCCGTGCTAATATTTTAATGTAATCAGGTCTTTAGATGCTATTCACAGATTTCTACTGGGCACCTGCCAAATAAGTGGCACAAGGTTAAGATACCAGTGTTGAGCAAAACATCTGGGTAGCCTGAGCCTGCCTATCTGAACAAAGTCTGTGGATGTATCTGTGCTGACGTCCTGGGCATGAGAGGTGAGGTCCTCATTCCCTTTACTATGTTGTTTGGGAAGGCTCCTAAGTTCCACTTCAGTCCTTACAGTTGTTACAGTAAGTGATTTTTCTTTTTCTTTTTCTTTTTTTTTCCTAGTTACAATAGTCAATTTAGCCTAAGAATTCTTTTATACCTAATTTTTGTTTAAATAGCAAAAACTATCTTGAAAGAATGATATTTATAAAATAATACATAAGAAGTTATCTATAGCGGATAACAGCTCATGTGTTTTGGCTGTTGATGGTATTTTGAGAAATTAATGTTCAAACAATGTATCATCAAATGATAACATGCATCTATGTCCATAAAACAGCAAGATAATCTCTGACACTCTAATGCTGCACAGACCACTCCTATAACAGTGGCATATCTTTATGCACTTTATTTCAGAATTAAGATTTAAACAATGATTACAATTTTATTGAACATTTACTGTAATAAAGGATATCATAGAGCTCAATAATTTTGGTAAGTTCTCATTCACATGCACTATTTCCAGAACATAAGACATAATGGCATCAGTACCCAATGTAGTAGTTTACTTGCATTTTCTAACTGTGCATGGATATGTTGTCATATGATAATTATAAAGTATGAAAAATACTTTTTGCTTTTTGTAATGATGTATAGTAAATTAATGTCATCTTACTAATGAAATATAACTTGGAAATCCCTTTAAAACCTAGTCAATGATGACAGCAAAGCATTTATATGCTCTGTAAGATGAAAATGTCATTTAATGTCATTCCAAGAAGCTTCCAAATCCATTTGAAGTATTATTCCTAATTAAGTATTATACTTAAGCTATATTCCTAGTTTGCACAAATGCCAACCATTGCAGGGCTGCGAGCATTTAGTTCCTAGTGTGTGTTACTGGGGGTTGATGAATAGTCCTCTCTGTCTTCACCTTTTTTTTTCTCAAAATCTAAAGTGACATAAGACAAGGCAGTAACTCGATGTGAATGCTATTCTAAAAGTAACCGATTGCTTGTTCTTATAGTTTCACGTAGAGTTTGCAGAAAGCTGGCAGATGTATACAATTTTGTGCCTTCTCTCCCAGACTCATCACTGTATTCAAAATGATGGAAAATATATCAGTATGTTTCTCTATAAGCTACAGTTTTTAGAAGCTACAAGGGGATTTAATGAAATCTGGTGTTCATAAAGCTCCGAGCTCATAATGTTCAAAATATGATGAGCAATGAGTATTTCACCCTTTCAAAGAAGCTAATATTGCAAATTACAGATATCTCTTTAGTATGCCAGATGTTGCTTGGTTTACAGGGTTGATTTTATGCAATCCTGTTCACAGTGCAGTTGGTATTCATATAACTATTAATATAATCTGTATATTTGCAGAAAGTCTTGTCCGTTATTTAGGTTTGCATCTTGATTTGAATTATGCATATAGTCTTATTTCTGTATGTGATTTTCTACATAATTTTATATCTTTGAGTTTTGTTTTTAGAGATGGATGTCCTGTAAAGCTTTAAAAATCTTGTCCTTCATATTTGAGTTAAATCTTGATCTCTTTGTCCAGCTAATTTATAATCATTTATTAAGAAAAAGCTACCAGACAAGATGTAAAGGAGGGTGAAAAGCCTTTAAAGAGCTGAAAATAAACATTATAGTTTTTTCATTAGCTTTCTCAATATGACAAAAAAGTATATTTTAAGATTTCTTCCTCTTTTGATGTTTAACTTTTGCTCCTTTTCAGATTGCATATGATTTTTAATGGAAACAGCTCCATCTGAGAATTTTTATTCCAAGGTGTGAATACTGCGGTGAAGTGAGATACTGCTCTTAGTTTTCTTTTTGCTAAGAGATGTTTCAGAAAAGCTAGATGTCAAGGTGTTAACTACTTGCCCCTTTGACTTCAACTGCATGTTTGCCAGGAACTTCAGACCTCAACTACTTAGCAATAACAACTTAATTTGAACTTGATCTGAGATTAATCTTCAGTATTGTTTTCTTTTCCAGTTCTTCTTTGATTCTCTACGTTCGTAAGGCCTTTTGCATTTAGATGTCATTATCCTTTGAAAGATCTGTGATATAGTTTGTTATAAGAAATAAAAAACTTACAGACTTGAAAAGTCAAAGATGGGGAAAATTGTCACCATTTAGATTTCTTAAAGGTGCCGGTAAATAACAAGAGTCTGGGATTTGAAAAATGTGCAGCCTGCAGTACAAACTTTCTCCTCAGAAGAGATATATTCAGCTGTGTGTCAATTAAAAAGAAAAAAGTTTAAGACAACATAAGTATAAAGAATGTCTCTTTTTTAAATAGAAATGTACATACTGGCTTCAAACTGAACAACCCAGATGTTGCTTGCATGCAGAGAAAGGTAGTGAACAGCTTTTGCAGTCTTCTTTAATGGGAGTCCTTCTCTAAATTTTTTTGTAGCTGAATTATTAATTTTTGGGGGCTTCTCCCAGTTTCCTGAGAAGTAATTCAGACTCTGGAGTTGTCATAACCTTAATCTTACTGTATAGTAAGAGGGAAAAGTTGGGAGACGTAAATGTGTAATTTTCTTTGAAATGAAAGGGTATCTGCCAGTGTCACTCTTTGGAGTCACTCCTGCAGCACCTCTGTTGCAGTGACCTTGTGCTGGATATTGAAGGGTAACAGAGATGATGATACCTGGTAAAATCTTTTCTCTAAACATGCCAAAACAATCACCATGCTATACGTTCTATAAATTATTAGGAATTCAGCACTGTGAAAGAGTAACTACTCAACAGTAAACCCCAGCCTGTGGCACAAGGCAGACATTTTCCAAGAGCTTTTCCAAGATGAAGAACGTGAACAAATCCACAGGAACAAATCCAAACCTTTCTCCCCAAATCTTTGTCTCACTTTCTTTATCTTGCTGCCCTAGTCTCGGGAAATGGATGCTTTAGTGATGTGCAAAGCACAGGACCTCACAGCAGCAGAGGCAAGGTAGGTCAAAAAAGGAAAGCAGGTTTCCTCATGTACGACCAAGTGCTATGTTACTGCAGTAATTAGGACAATTGTTGGTGTACCTGAGGAATGGGTCTTGTTTTCCCTCTTCCAGGTTTCCAAACAAACATACAAGATCGGCTGAGGTATGTATGAGTGAATAAGGATGGGAGAGCACTGTGAGACTTGCTGGCTGCTTTAGTAGCTGGTTCCTAACCTTTCCACCCGCTAAGAGTTGTTGAGTCTGTGGCTCAGATGAGCTAGTTCAAAGCAAATCCCTGTTATGTGGATGCTGGGTCCTCAGCACCAACGTTTTCACCCATTAGAGTGCTTCTATGGTACCTTGCTGATTGGTAATGTGCTCACATCCAAGGGGCGCTCACCATCTTGCCCTAGTAATGTGTAACAGGAATGTCGGCTCATGAATGTGGTGTATAAATTAATGCTTAATAAGTAAGTTTTGTAGGCAGACGTGCTTTTTTCTTGGAAGTTATTTGTAATATTTCCCTTTTTGGAGGGAGATAGGTTTGTCTGAGCCCAAAGGTTACAAACAATGGTCCCCCAAGATTTTCTTCTGTGTTTTGCTAGCTGTTGTATGTCTGAGTGAACTTTTCATGCAGATAGAATGAGAGCAGCATGACTCATAATATTTCCATATAAAATACATAATATCTCAAATTTTGATTATTAAATATGCTTTATATTGACTTGTTTCTTCTTGTATTCTTCTGGGAATGAGTGGTTAAATATTTTATTATTTATGTTTCTTTGTGGTATGTGAACCGAATTAATTAACCACTTACAAAAATAAGGTATTTGAATTTCAGATGAACTCTAATTGGAGAAATATATTACATCAAAGGACTTAGGAAATATAAAAGAATGCAAGTTCCTGCTTGCTAAAAAGGTTGCTTTATTAGATATTCTCAAAACAGCTTTTTTATCTTTTGATTTGGTAGAAATAGCTTTTAATGACAAACTTGTAATCATAAGTTGTACTTTTAGTACCACAGGTGATATAACAGTGATTTGTTTAATCCCTCTACTTGACAAATGTTTTCTTCCAATAAAAGCACCAGTGTATACTTCATACTTACAAACTATCTCTGGGTTCAAGTAGGAAAGAAAGCATAGTAAATCCATTGCAAATCATTTTCTCCAGGCATTAATGGTATTGAAATCTCTGCCAAAGCCCTTCACACGTCCTTTCCAAACATCCAGATTTTCTGCTACTGCTACATAATGAATATTCATAATAGGACAAGTGCTGATTTTCACGTGGCAGTTGAGGTTGTAAGAAAATAAACCATTCCCAAGTCATGAGTGGAAACAATGTATTTTCTGCATAAACATGGAAAACAAAAAGGAGGAAATGCACAGTAGGCAAAGCAAAAACTTGTGTGAAATGTGAACTTAGCTGAATACAATTATAGGCCACTTTGCTTACTTGC